TGGGTCCTATTTAAGATTTTTTGAACTAATAAGTCATATTCAGTGAAATTAAGAATATTATCAGTTTTTTCTAATTTTAAAATTATAAAACATTATCAATTTTGTATAGTAATGTTTCAGATAATTGTTTCACTAGCTGATGGAAAAAAAAAAACAGAGTATGAAATTAAACATTTTTGACCTTCTACTTATTGATTTGATTCAACTATCTAATAAAACCAAGAACATTAACAGTTTTTTCTAGTTTTAAAATTGAGAACATTATCATTTTTTTTCATTTAAATTTTTTTTTTCCATTTCTGCACATCAATATTCCATCATCATGCTCCTTTACAGATAAAATTTTTAGTTTTGCACAAAAAAATAATTCATATTTTTCAATTTTTTCAAAAAAAAAATTAATGCGCCTTGAAAGTCCAAAAATCTTAGTTAGGATTTAATGCAATATAAATTCATAAATTAGAACTTGTATGTAAATGCTTTTTTTTAAAATTAAAAATTTATTTAATAAAAATTTAAATGTTAAATTAAAATAAGTTAACCAATTTGGCTAACCCAATTGGCTACTTATGTGTACTCAATTGAAATGTAAAGTGGTCAATTTTACCAAAGGCAAATATGGATTATTTACTTTCTATTAAAAGGTTTTTCTATTAATCAAGGTACACACATGTTGGTACAGACACTCAATTATATATAAAATAAATAAAAAATAATAATTATCAAATTACTGTAAATAGCCGTTGGGACCATACACAGGATGACTGGCCGGTTATCCTCCCGAATAACCTCTTCCTTGCGTAGACATCGAGTAAATTTACACTAATCGGTCAACCGGCCAGACTTCCTCCTGATTGTCAAGCAAATTTACATTAATCAGTTGACTGGCCCGACATTCTCCTGATCATCATCCCGATCGACTAGTGGTTTGATAAAAAATGCAAATTTTCCTTTGAAACACTTGATGATGAAATTTTTATTCAAATTTAATATTAAAAAAAAAAAACAAAAAAACAAAGAAAAAGAAGAGAGTAAACGTTGGAGATGCTCTTAGGGTGGTTTGCTAAATTGTCACGCTAAATTAGCTTGTTGCACCGAGTTAAAGAGTGGAAATTAATTATTAAAAATTAACTGTTGAACTTTTTAAAGAGTTAACTATCTGAAAGTCCTATTTACAAATATTATGCTACCTTGGGTCCTATTTAAGATTTTTTGAACTAATAAGTCCTATTTAGTAAAACTAAGAATATTATCAGTTTTTTCTAATTTTAAAATTATAAAATATTATCAATTTTGTATAGTAATGTTCCAGATAATTGTTTCACTAGCTGATGAAAAAAAAAACAGAGTATGAAATTAAACATTTTTGACCTTCTACTTATTGATTTGATTCAACTATCTAATAAAACCAAGAACATTAACAGTTTTTTCCAGTTTTAAAATTGAGAACATTATCATTTTTTTTCATTTTTAAATTTATTTTTTTCCATTTCTGCACATCAATATTCCATCATCATGCTCCTTTACAGAGAAAATTTTTAGTTTTGCACAAAAAAATAATTCATATTTTTCAATTTTTTCAACAAAAAAAAAAAAAACATTAATGCGCCTTGAAAGTCCAAAAATCTTAGTTAGGATTTAATACAATATAAATTCATAAATTAGAACTTGTATGTAAATGTTTTTTTTTTAAAATTAAAATTTTATTTAATAAAAATTTAAATGTTAAATTAAAATAAGTTAACCAATTTGGCTAACCCAATTGGCTACTTATGTGTACTCAATTGAAATGCAAAGTGGTCAATTTTTACCAAAGGCAAATATGGATTATTTACTTTCTATTAAAAGGTTTTTCTATTAATCAAGGAACACACATGTTGGTACAGACACTAAATTATATATAAAATAAATAAAAAATAATAATCATCAAATTACTGTAAATAGCCGTTGGGACCATACACAGGATGACTGGCCGGTTATCCTCCCGAATAACCTCTTCCTTGCTTAGACTTCGAGTAAATTTACACTAATCGGTCAACCGGCCAGACATCCTTCTGATCGTCCAGTAAATTTACTTTAATCAGTTGACTAGCCCGACATTCTCCTGATCATCATCCCGATCGACTAGTGGTTTAATAAAAAATGCAAATTTTCCTTTGAAACACTTGATGATGAAATTTTTATTCAAATTTAATATTAAAAAAAAAACAAAAAAAACAAAAAAAAACAAAACAAAACAAAGAAGAAGAAGAGAGTAAACGATGGAGATGCTCTTAGGGTGGTTTGCTAAATTGTCGTGCTAAATTAGCTTGTTGCACCGAGTTAAAGAGTGGAAATTAATTATTAAAAATTAAATGTTGAATTTTTTAAAGAGTTAATTATCTAAAAGTCCTATTTACAAATATTATGCTACCTTGGGTCTTATTTAAGATTTTTTGAACTAATAAGTCGTATTTAGTAAAATTAAGAATATTATCAGTTTTTTTCAATTTTAAAATTAAAAAACATTATCAATTTTGTATAGTAATGTTCCAGATAATTGTTTCACTAACTGATGGAAAAAAAAAAAAAACAGGGTATGAAATTAAACATTTTTGACCTTCTACTTATTGATTTAATTCAACTATCTAATAAAACCGAGAACATTAACAGTTTTTTTCTGTTTTAAAATTGAGAGCATTATCATTTTTTTTCATTTTTAAAGTTTTTTTTTTCCATTTCTGCACATCAATATTCCATCATCATGCTCCTTTACAGATAAATTTTTTAGTTTTGCACAAAAAAATAATTCATATTTTTCAATTTTTTCAAAAAAAAAAAACATTAATGCGCCTTGAAAGTCCAAAAATCTTAATTAGGATTTAATGAAATATAAATTCATAAATTAGAACTTGTATGTAAATGTTCTTTTTTAAAAGTAAAATTTTATTTAATAAAAATTTAAATGTTAAATTAAAATAAGTTAACCAATTTGGCTAACCCAATTGGCTACTTATGTGTACTCAACTGAAATATAAAGTGGTCAATTTTTACCAAAGGCAAATATCGATTATTTGCTTTCTATTAAAAGGTTTTTCTATTAATCAAGGTACACACATGGTGGTACAGACACTCAATTATATATAAAATAAATAAATAAAAATAATCTTTGTTTAATGATTTATTTCTTTCCTATAATGTTTTTTTTTTTGGTTATGGTTGATGGTACCAGGCTTGTTGTTTATCTTGTGGGGCTTTCTTATGTGGTTGAATGTTTAATTTAACATAATTATTTTGATATTTGTAAAAAAAAAAATTATGAATTGAAAGAAAAAATTTAATTAATTGTTTGATATGTATAAGATGAAATTTGCATTTTATTATATATTTTTTTTTAAAAAAAATTTATATTATAGTAATGAGGTGGTAATGATGATGTAGCTGGTGGCAGAAGATGGAACTAGTACGTTAGAATGGTAGGTTACATGTTTTTTATGGATTTTATTTGGACAACAATTTGCTTGCATTAAAACAAATAAATAAATAAATAAATATATATATGTCTAAGTGAACAGACTTGGAAATTAAATTAATTTTAGGGTTGGGTTTTGGATGACCCTATAAGCCTGATGTTCGGGCCGAGTCGAGCTTGGATAAATACAAAATTCCTATTAGGTAGCAAAAGCTTGACCCAAACTCAGCCCGGTCCAATAGATGCCCACCCAAGTTGTAGTCACAACTTTTTACTAAGAGAGTGTTTGAGATTATCTAAATAAGTATATTTTTAGACTTTTTACGAAAAAAACATGAAATATATTTATATTTGAAATAATATGATAGAGAGGTAATTTGACCCAGATAAGATGATTGTCACTCAAATAGGATAATATGCTAAAATAACATGTGCTATTTTAGCATATACCGAACACCCCCTAAGCTTATTTCAAGTGGAAAGCTGCCTTTTAAATCTTTGCCAAACTTTTGATAAGCCAGGTAGAAATTTCACCTCAAGAATTATAGCAGTTAAAATTTTGGTGCTTAACAGATTCAACCCCTCTCATGCTATATATGTGTTGCCACCAAACCTTGATTTCTTGTACAATCAAAGCAATTTCCAATTATCTTATTATCTTATCAAACGAGGCCTGTCTGTTGATGTATTAATATTGCCCTTCTGTTAATGTAACAAGACTGAGCTCCAAGTTACTACAATCCATTTTGGAAGGGTCCATGTTTTGCTAGTCAATTCAAAACTATAGACTCAAAAAATAAGCAAAAAGAAATCTAGATCATGGAAGAAGATATCGAGGCAAAAATCATGATTTTTTTTTTTTTTTTTTTTTCAGCGCCGTAACCTAGGGAAGGGGAGTCTTAAAATATTGAATTTACTATAATGGTCCGAATTTCTAAATTTCATAGCTCCCTCTACTTAAGCAATAAAGTTAAAGGTTATATGTCACCATTAAATTCTTTATTGCCTTTATGCACAACAAAGCTCCACAAAACCATCTTCATGAAGTATTCTACCCTTAATAAATGAAGTATTTAAAAAAATGTCTCTGTCTATCATTAGCCATGAAAATTAGATGAATCTGACACATAAACATGTATCCACACTCGGCAACCATACCCTAGTCCACATAGAAACTGACAAAATCAAAACATCTTCTCAACCAAAATTCCAACAGACTTCCTCATGCATAAACATAATATATCCATGACCTTGATTCCTAGGGGACAACATCAAATGATGACTTACATATCCACCGATGATTTTCTTATGTTACCTGCAACGTAGATTGTTCCAAGGAATGGGAATAGGAATAGGAACAAGAACGTTGTACACCACATGCTCTAAAAAATGGTACAATAAGGTTAGGTTTGTACCAATCACTCCCTTAGATTTTAAGTTATGAGATCAGTTTTCATTTAACAATTCAATATCTAATAAAACAGTCTATTATTCTTCAAACTTATAATATCAATTCTCATTTAACAATCGTCTTTATGCAGAACAAAACTCCACAAAACCATCTTCATGATTTTAACTAAAGAAGTAAACTCAATAATCTGCAGTCAGACAATACATCATTGAAGCAAACATCAAAACCAGATATGCAACAATAAGCTATTCCCAGTTTTTCTAGTAGGAAAGCGTTAGTAAGTCAACGTTGAGAAACACAGCCAATTATTACAAAGTGAGACTGATCTTACAAATACAACTTCAAACCTGGATCATAATGAAAGGGCGGCAACCAGCTTATCCTTCAAATCCTCGGCAGCACCATCTTGAGTCCGTATAGAGAATGAATGAACAATCTCTCCATTGCTTGTTGTCGAAACTTTAGACTCTTGTGCTATAACTTGATGTTCTCTGAATGCCTTTATGACCCTAGAAACCGGGTGAGCATCCAATGGGCAGCTCACTCGCACAACCGCATCTTCATGCCTTGCTTGAAAATCAATTTCCGGGACAATGCATTGCTTTTGCTTATTGTTACCCATATACTTTTCGGTTTCTAAGATCCTTATCTTCTTCTGAAGATCAGTGATGTATGTAATCGCATCACCAAGCAGAGAGGCCTTGTCCATCTTGGAGATGTTAGGAACAACCGCTCTCCTTAATGCATAAAAACGTTGGTTAAGCTTCTCTCGCCTCTGCCTCTCTGCTTCCACATGATTCAACGGTTCCTCTCTCCCATTGGCAGGCTTTCTCCCTCTCTTTCTTGGTTTCCTCTCATCGGACTGAATCAACAAGTCCTCCTGGCCCTGGTCTAAACCAGAAACAATCACTTGGTTCATTTGTGGAAACAGTTTTGCTTCACCATCATCACTTCGAGACCCATTAGAAGAGTTCCCATAAACTTGATTAGTTCCTACCGCTTGCAAATCATAAGATTCTGATGTAAACCCTGAATCATCTTCCACTTTCGGTGAAAAACTTATAGTCATCGGACGCGACTTTGCACCACCAAGACTAAGTTCATGCCCAAATATCTTTGCCACCACCTTTGCCTGTACAGACAGAGGTCCCCCAAGTGTAGTTTTCACCATTTGAATCACACCTTGTTCTTCAGGAACTGATTTAACGGAACCAATCTCAACTACCCCTGCTTTTAGTGGGATAAAAACCACCGTTTCAAATCGAGCTAATTTGGCTAAATATGACCTTGATTGGTAATGTTCTGAACAACTCTTGGCATCTGAAGCCCAAATCACTCTACCAGTATTGAATGATTGAGAAGGACTAGATGGCTTATCAAATGGGAATGAGTAATACATTGATGCGAGATAGAACATCTCCAAATCTGAAACTGAATCCAAATTTCCTGCATAATTATCTTCCTCCGATCCTCCAAAACAAGCGTGAAGCTTCTGCAAAACCCCCTTTTTCCTATTTTCTTCATCCAATTTTCGATCCTTGGAACAGTTCCCATTCTCAACCTCACTTCCCTTCAGCTCCTTACAATGCCCATCACCCCAAATCAAGGCCGAATTGCCGGATTTCGACTTCGAAACCTGCCAGAACATGGCATAATTCCAATTTGACCCCTCAACAACCTTACACAGCCCTTTCTGCACACCCAAATCTCTGGCCGATGACACGAACTCTGACAACACGTTGCCGGAGGCCGAAGCAACAAAGAATTCAAAGGATTCACTGCCTAAAACAGCTTCTATCATACACTTGTCCTCTTCATTCAACCAAAACTTCTCCCCCATCTTTCAGACAACTCAACAAACACTTAAATTGCAAACAGTAATCTTAAGGGGTTTCAGCTTTCCACAAACAAATACGACACAAAACTAATAGAATCTTTAAATTTAGAAACCTGGGTTTGATTGTTCATATGAAAAAGAAATAGACCCAGGTTGTCGTTTCATGTGAGGGTTTGATACACCAACAAATCACAAGTGGATATGTATGAATAGTTGTGTGTATGTATATATATATCATAAAAGAAGCACCAAGAAACTGCAACTTAAAAAAGGAAGAACAGTTACCTGAAGTTGTAATGGATCAGAACAATTTGCGAAGAGGATAAACTCAAGTTTCATGTGACTGTAACAAAGACCTGGGTTCTTTCTTGGGTGTCTTGGTGTAGATCTGAACTCTTTACTAAGAGCTTTTCCTTGTCCTTATTTTATGGTAAAGATACAGTGGAACTCTGGAATCTTACTGTGTACCAAACCCTTTTTAAATTATGTTTTTTTTAAAATAATGCTATATGTATTAATTAGTGTGATATAATTTAAGAGATTTTTGATATTTATAATATGATTAATTAGTGAAGTTAATAATATTATTATAATTTGTATTGATAGACTAATTAATATACTAATTGATGCATGTAACGCTACTAAATTAATTTAAAGGTGATTAATTTTTCAATTTGACTGTCGTTTTTAACGTGGGTCATATTTCGTCTTTGTTGAGCGTATTATTTTTCTTCTCACGGCCAAAACACTTTGGAGAGTTATAAAAATAAGAGATTTTTAATAAAAAATATTCTAGGGGCCGTTCAAAAAAAATCAAAAATAAAAAATTATAAGGGATATTATAAAAATAAAAAAAAATAAAAAATTATAAGCTTAAGGTTTGAATCTAGTAACAAAATAAATTTTTAATATTTTTAATTTAAATTTTAATTTATTTTTTATTTAAATTATTTTTGTTAAGTAAAACCGACAAAATAAAAGAAATTTTAATTATTAAACTCATTAAAAAAATATTTTAGACATTTTTATGTAGAGTGAAACACCAATAAACCCTCAAATAGTGATTTTATAAATTGTTTGATCTTTTATTTTTTTCTCATAGATCCAAAAGATGAACATGAAGCGTCTAGTATAAACGCACATGTGTTATATATTAAAAGAAAAATGTGGATTTTTTTAATGGGGAGTGGCTTCTATCCCGTCCCTAATCGGACTGGACCGTGTTGTTGGGCTCGTGGAGGCCCACCACGGGTCTCATTTTGATAATCTGAACCGTTAATATGTAGAACTCGTCGAGTACTATATGCTTGTAAAAAATCACGTTGATCGGATATCGATAGCTATGTGATCAAAACAGATTTTTGTCAATCGTTAATTTATTCACCGTCTATTTTTTTAAATACAAAACTGATTTGATCACATAACTATCGATATCCGATTAATGTGATTTTTTGCAAACATATAATATTCGACAAGTTCTACACATTGAACGGTTCAGATTATCAAAACGTGACCCGTGGTGGGCCCCACGGGCCCAACAGCACGGCCCAGTCCGATTAAGGACTGGACAGAAGCCATGCCCTTTTCAATAATGTTGAAATTTCCAAACTAAACACTTCAAAAAAACTCTTTAGTGTATTTTTTTCAAACGTAATACTGCAATATAGCACTCTAAAACTGTAACACTCCAGTATATCACACTAAAAAACTCCTTAATGTAATTTTCTCAAATATAACAACATAACACTCTTAAAAAAAAAAAAAAAATTAGTATATTTTTCTCAAACGTAACAACGTAACATTCCAAAAAAACTTCTTAGTGTACTTTTTCAAAAATTAACACTCCAATCAATGTAACATACTAAAAAACTCCTTAATATATTTTTTTCAAACGTAATACTCCAATCAATGTAACACACAAAAACACTTTAGTGTACTTTTTTCAAACATTACACTCCAATATAACACACTAAAAAACTCTTTAGTGTACTTTTAACATTTCAAAAAAAATTCTTAATGTGTTTTTTCCAAACGTAGCACTCCAATCAATGTAACACACAAAAACACTATAGTGTACTTTTTTCAAACATTACACTCCAATATAACCCACTAAAAAACTTTTTAGTGTACTTTTAACATTTCAAAAAAAATTCTTAATGTATTTTTTCTAAATATAAAACTCTAATCAATATAATACAAAAATTCTTTAGTGTATTTTTTCCAAACATAATACTCTAATATAATACCAAAAAATTACATTAACATAAATGTAGATTTCTACACTCGATAACTAATACTTCAGCCATCAATTCTCTTAAAAAGAATCTTCCACACCTTATATTTGAGAAATTATATTTCCACGCGTTTATTTACCTCAATATACACAATTATAAATATAATCAAATATTATTTGTCTCATTCTACATATCACATATTTCAGTTATAATGCTTTACTCAAATTTTGTACATAGGAAATCCATGAGGCAAACACTGGAGGAACGAAAATAAAGAAAAAAGAATTCAAATCTACAGAGATACATTACATACACATACATGTATATTGATTTATAGATCTCTCCGTATATTGATTTGCATATCAAAGAGAGAGAACTCACCACAACATGGTTTCTTGTGATTTCCGCAATCATCGTTCATCGTGATCGACATAGCCCAACCACAGGAGTCCGGATCCTCTCCAGCCAAAGCCTCTAGCCCTTCCTTCGGTCAAGGGTCGCGATTTGACCACGTCGCTTAAATGAAGATCTACGGCTCAAATGCCAAAAAAAAATATTTGAATTTCTTTCCTTCAATACAGCAGTAGCTTCTCTCCCATTCCCTCCACGTTTTCCCTCCCTCTTCGAAGCTCTGGCGAAGGACGATCGGCGAAGTCGGCAGCAAACATCGAGGGTGAACCAAGGCTGATCTTTGGGAGGCCCGAACAGCTCTTTGGGCTTGATAATGTGGTCCTCATCACGTAGGAAGGGGAACTGTGGAAACCCGCAAGGCCATGGCTGATCTTGTGATTGGAAACTTGGAGGCTCACTTTTCAAAGAAACCACTGTTAACTCCAGTGGTTTAATTGTGTTGTAATTGTAGTGAAATTGATGATTGATTGGAGGCCTTACCTTGAAGCCTGGTGCTTATGTCTTTCAGTTTTAGAGATCATTGTTTCTAGAACTGGGTGTATGAGAATCTTCACTGTATTTAAAAGATTTAATTATATTGTGTACACAACAACAAATAGAATTTAAAGAAATAAAGAAAATGAGAGAATTTGTTTGATTACAAAAATCAAACTCGAAATAAAAATAAATAAATAAAAACAACACTGAAAATATATTAAATAACTTACTTGATTTAATTTCTTTGAATTATTTTCTGATCAAGTCCAGTGTTTAACACTGTGTCCTTAAGACAGATTCGTCATCTCCACGGTGCTTTCAGAATTCGGGCGTCTATCTCCCAAGATGAAATGATCTACCACAAACAATAGCATCACTACTAATTGTTTGCCTTATGAACACACTAAGTGTTTACACTCTTTCTTTCGGAAATAAAATGCAGCAAGATGAAGAATATAAATAGCAGAAGTGAAATACGAAATTTCTGAATGGAAAACATCAAATGAGGGTGGTCCTATTTATAGATGTGAAGGTGGCTCTTGGTTTTGAATTGAACAGGTATGATACCTGTTGGGTTTTGAATTTCAAACAGATTCAACAATTCAAACAGATAGCAATTATGGGAAGGGCCCTGTTTGGGTGTGCACTAATTCCAAAACAGTTTATTTCTATTCGAAACCGGGAAGGGCCCTGTTTGGATGAACAAAAAATCCAAACCAATTTAATTTGAATTTTGGATTTTATTTTAATAAAAATAAAAATTAAATTCAAATGTTTTTGGCCCAAAAAAGATTAGAAGCCCGCGTGTGTGGTGATTTTTGGGTCCAATGGGTCTAGCCCATTTTGCCCATAACCTCTCCCTCTAAAACACTTGGGTACCCCTTGGGGCACACCCCAAGTATCTCACCCTAAGCCTTATAAACCCTTTCAAAACTTCCCACCAAATCAATGTGGGACAAGCCAATTTACAACCTTAAGGAATTTCCACCAAAACTCCATTTCCATGGAGCACACTTTGGCTTCAATTTCCCATTCACTCGGTAATGGTTTTGAGCAACCAAATATACCACGTGAATCACAACGCGGCATAGAACGCGTTACCACTTTGACCCGAGTAAATCGACACTCAGGACCCACCTAAAAAATAGACCGAACTTAGGAAAAAATTCTGATTTTATCCAGAATTTTATAACCATTTCCAACACTGGGCAAATAAACCCTTACCAGATGCAAACCTCTAATTATCCTTTTAAATTATTTCTTAGGTATTTTGGCACTTGCTGCACATAAAGGAAAGTCTAGTTTGGGTCAATTGTATCTGTCCAATCTTATGCTTATCTTCTTTAAAATAATATGAATTGACTGGGCCATTCATCGACTAACCAGGGAATGAGTGGGTTGAGTCTGGTTTTGGGCTCTTCTTTTGTTGGTCGTTGAAATGGTGAGTGGGTTGAGTCTGGTTTTGGGCTCTTCTTTTGTTGGTCGTTGAAATGGCATTTTTTTATTTTTTCGTCTTTAAAGGTTTGATTATAGGAGTTTTTGTTTATTTGGATATCATATTGAATTATTAATTACCACCTCAAGAGAGAGATTGATAACTTGACTACTCAATTAAAGCAAACTACGTATGCCTCTGTTCGCCTTGAGTAGTAGTGATCATTTTCAATTGTATCTAATTCTCATCAGCATTCTTAGTAAACAAACTGAGCATTAAAGGTCAAGAGGGACATTAGTATTAGTAGAAAACAGAGACAGGGACAGTACAAACTTGTACAAATGAGGCATTGTAAATGCTCCTCTAATGCAATACAGGGCTTCCTAATCACAAAGGACAATGTGAAAAAACAAACAAACCACCAAAACCTAAAGAGGAAAGAAAAGAAAGCTAAAAATGCACTTCTTGTGGGCTAAAGAAATGGTTCTCTCTCAATACAGGGCTCCCAGAAATGACTAGCTCTTTTCTTCCAAACCCAGAAATGGTTCTCCCTCAGTATGTGTGTGTGTCTCTCTCTTCCTCTTTTAGTCAAGTGTGAATGAATAGTAGAGAGAAACGATAGCAGAAACAGAGGATTTATAGAAAGATCACAGCGATGGTGAAAAATTAAAGGATGAGAGCATTCCAAAAAGTGGCAAGTGAGGTCAGCAATGGGGTCCTCCAAATGTGAAGGACACCTTAAGCTTGGTTCACCGTCGATGTTCGCCACCGACTTTGATTCGCCGCCGATCGTCGTCGATGTTCGCCGTCGACTTCGCCGATCGTCCCTCGCCAGAGCTTCGAAGAGGGAAGGAAAACGTGGAGGGAATGGGAAGGAAGCTGCTGCGGT